CAGCTCCGGCTCCGGTCCGGGTTTGGCACATGGATCCCCCGCAATGCCCCACTTCGCCGGGATACAGTCCAACTCAATCGGATCCGAACTCTCGTTATCAGTCGGAGGATAAAATGTCTCATTGCTTAAGCACGAAAGGTACAAAGGCGACAACGGATATTTCATACCCGACATCTCCGTCATCGTCTTATGACTCTTCACCGGTCAATATCGGATACACCATGCTAATATATTCCACCGAGCCTCGCTCTCTCCCATCGTGGCCTTCACCGTCTCATTGCCAACACCTACGTGCAGCCGGGTACAAGCCACGTCCTTTTAGCCATAGTGGTAAATTCTTCAAACATTCGCACACGCCTCCCTTTCCCTATACGGCCTATTGCCGTTACGACCTTCTTGTATAGGTGTGGACGGTCTATGCGTTTCAGGCACTCACTCACTTACACGGCAAAGACCACTTACCCATATACATACACCCCCTGCGAGAACAGTAGTATGTGTAAAGAAGACATCCAATATAAATTGATTTAACCTTATCGCATCGTAGCCAGAAACCTGGTACGAAACAGCCACACCCCCCTTTCCTCCGGTTGCCTAACATACGGGGTGTCCGATAACATCTCAGAAGCGGGACGGTGGCATTTTGCATTTTTGGCATGTGACTGATAACATTAATATGTCGTGAAATTGCTGTGGGCTGAGCAACGTACAGCAGGAAGATTCTTGAGGGCGCATTGCTGACTCCAATTGCGGAGTTGGTTTTGGAGACGAGTGGATTGGGCTTCATGTTATTGAGTTCTGTGAAGAGAAGTAGGAAACTCCTTTGAGACATCCGTCGTGTTATTCTCGTCTTTTGGAATGAGCCTCATGACGTCCCCCGTAGAAGGGTCTGGGTCGTATTCGTGACGTGACTTGGCCCTTACAGGAAATTCCAACACTCTGTCTAAACTGGGCCACGGCTGCGTTTTAGAGAGCCGTGGTTTATGATCGATTTCCAACAATTGGGGGGGGGGGGGGGAAGGCTGGCAATCAGACACGGCGTAAGTCAACAACCTGATACGTAGTATATACTCAGTCAAGGAAAGATGCCTTCTCAGAACATCGCGTCGAGAGCAACATATGAAGATCACCAATATTGAGTCTTATCTACATCCCGATCACAGCCATAAAGACTCTACTTTTCCGCATAATACCAGACCCAATAATCTCTAGAAGGAACCTACTCCATTTTGGTGCACATTGTATACGGCTGTTAGATTCAAGCATGCGATTGAGGAAGTGAATCTTCTATCACCGATTCCGTGGAGAACACATGCGTTATACTTCTCGGTAATTACCAATGACGCATCCTGTAACTTAACCCATCCGCCGAGAGTCAAACGCTACCGAGTCAAGCAAGATGTGAAGAGGTGCATTCACAATCCGGGATAATAAGAAGCAAAGCACCCGCAGAACGGTCCGAACCCGTGGATTGGAAGTGGTGTGGCTCTAACACTCTTTTATCCCATCTCATTTTACCGCAAATCCATTCTTCCCTCTTATTTTGTAGTCAACCTTTAACTTATCCTGGACACACCCTCCCCGAATACTCAGGGAACTCATATCTGCTTTGTAGGTGTCATAGCAGAGTTTGGGCGACGCGAATGGAGCAAGACTGCCTTAATAGAGAGCTTTCTGCCCACCGAATCTGACTGATTCTATCAAAATGCCTTGAACATTCAAAATCTCGAGTTTCGAATCCTCAACGAGAACGCCTGACCCAGTCTACTTCGACGAGAGTATTCTTCTCTATCACAATGGTCTCGGTTCTTCATTATATGGAACGTTGATCAACAGTTGGTGCGAGTATCGTAACTCCTTCTATTGATGTTGAGTAAGCACAGGTCAAGTGAGCAATGCGACTCGGGCAAGGTGGATGGGCGGGACGTGATTCCGAAAGGATACCAAGACCCCCCATCCTCGCGCTTAAACGAAGCTTGTTTTCGCCTCGTGGGAGCGCCATATTTATCCGGGCCATAAGGGGGAGTGCATATACGTTTCTATCCCGGCGCTCAATACCCCTTCTGGTTTCCCTCCACTTCTCCGAAAAGGTGCATTTGCCCGTTCTCTTCGGGCGCTGGAAATACGTAAGCCCTCTTTCCCTTCCTCCCGACACGGGTGTTCCTGATCGCCGTGAGAAGTGACACGGAATTTCAATAGAACATCTTGATCACATGGCCGCGAGACAAGCCGCATGCTCCGAATTAAAGGCCGAAAGCTATTTTATAGCCCCCGGGAGTTTAATAGATCCGGTAAGTTCTATCGATATCGATCCGGAAGAGGCGGGCCTTAGCCACTGAGGCGGAAATGTGAGGGATACTAGGAAAATTTCGTTTCGATTCAGACGGTAGAGCCTAGGTATTCAGCCTCAGTAGAAGAGATTCGAGGAAGATATGGAGTATTCGGTGATATATCATAACACTCAGCGGCAGAGCTGAGTGTGGCTTAGAGCAATCCAGCCATCACCATCTTAAGCACATACACCTTGACGTCAATGTGCCTTAGGACCGCCGAAACATACTGAAGGTGCCCCCCCTTATCGCGCTCGTTCTAAAATCTCTGGCATTTCGATGGTGATCTAGAATAAGTTAACGCATCCATACCATTGAAATGCTAAGAACAGTGCACGTCGTGCTTTTGAAGAGGATGCCATGGCCTGGCCAAACGGAAGGTCACAGATGATACCCGCCCTGTATCCCGTACCACGAAGTGATGATCAATGATTTCACGGTTTCGCCTGGCCACGTAGAGATGCAACGCGCATGCTGTCATACTCCCTCCAAGGCCGGGGTCATTTTTATCTTGCTGTGCCCCCACCTCTAGATATTTGGGTGGGCGTGGTCCTATACCCATGGACAACGATCTGCCCAGAGCCCGCTGACCGGTACCCTAAGCTTCGTTGGACGGGTGTGTGCAGATTAAGCACGGCGAGCTAGGGGGGTTCTATGGTGGTAGTACAGTAGGATGGTCAGGTTAGGCTGTATCATCGTGTGATGTCCTTCGATGGGCGGCCTATTTTGGGTTGTGGTGATGCATCGTCGGTCAAGGTGGAGGCGTGTTAAAAAACTAAGGTTTGGCTGTCACGATCAGCACCAACAGGACGGAACTGGAAAAATCATGGCAAGGTCGCATATGGGGAGGGTGATATCAAGGCACCGACGGTGATTTAGCACCTGGAACTATTGTGGTCTTTTATCGAGCGATGACGGGACAACTGACAATCAGTCTCATAGCCCAAGGCGCACTCGTGGATGCTGCGTTATGGGCCGGGAATTTGCCAACGCATCAGTCATCCGGGCAGATGACCTTGATTGCAGCAGATACCCCCGTCCAGGCGGGCGGTGAGGTCGGGATGGAGGGCGACAAAACGGGGGAAGCAAACGGTGGATATTCTTGGAGATGGGAATAATTCCTCGAATATAGGTGCAGGGAGGATCGAGGGCGAGCGTATAGCACGGATTTGATGGACGCCTTTCTCGTGGTCCGATTACCCACAAGTGTAGCTGCACTATTGATTTGAATTGATGTTCCCAAGGACTGTGGTTGGATGACCCCGCAGTGTTTTGGATAGCAATGCCTGGTTCTTGAGGTCGATTCCACCTGTCAGGGTTGTCTTGGCTCGCTCTTCCCAATTAGATTACGAAGGAAAGCAATGCAGACGAATGGATGCGAGATGGGAGATGTCCGATCCGACCGACACTACCGATAATTCCTCCGATCAGATCAATCCCGCTCCCTACTCCCTGCCCCCGCTGCTCCTCCCCGTTTCCTCCTTCACAAAGCCTCATCCATCCTTGCGGACCGAACGCCGGTCCGGGGTCCGGCCCTTGGCAAACATCCTTGTTAAGTTCCACGGGGTAATGATACAGCGAAGTCGCACCTGGCTCGCCAACATGTAACTTCTCCTGTGGAGTGGATTCTTTTGCTCAATTTGAAGCTCTGTAGGCTACATAATCTTGACAAACTCGGCGTTACTTCAATTGTCCTAATTCCTCGGCTCGTACTTACTAATAGTGCGGTAAAATACGATTATCACATGCCATTCTTGCCATTGTTCCTGGCGGGTCTGGAAGGCAGCGTTTTGTTCCACAATTTTGAGTCCTACCAAGCTTCGTAGGGGGCAGTCCGGCGCTAGTGCCAAGCCATTCTTGCTCATTGGGGCCAGACGTCTTAATCCTCAACGCCGCGACCTCGCCAGGTCGAGGGCAAGGAAATCGCTTAATGGATAGCAATTTACAGTCTTGTCTATTATTAAAACCCTCTCCTTCATGCCTTCCGGGTCTGGTACAATTAGGCAGTCAGCGCTGAGGAAGAGTAAGATCTCAGGAAACATGTGAAATCCGGAGAAAGTGTCGGACGCGGCCGAGTGTCCACAGATGCCAAGTCTCGTCTGGGGTTAAGACTCCCCCGAGCCAAGACCCCGCATTAATCGAACCAATCAGAACCAAGGAACCTGCGCAGCTATCTCATACTCACAATTTTTGCCTTCCCTTTTTTCCCCCTTGCGCGACCAAACGTTCCTGCCACGCCCCCCAAAACACAGACACGGCATGTGATGTCAACCCAAGCCCATTACTGTTACTTCCTGGACAATAAGCCGCGCAGCAATTGAGCAAAGTACCCAAGCCGCCCACGCATTTCCCCTCCCTCCTCTCCCTCCCCCTCCCCTTCTCGAAACAATGAAGCTTCCCGTCCCGCCGTCCCTCCTCCGGCGTCGCCTCCTCACTCGACCGCTCCTCTCCTCCCCATCCCAATTGACAAGCTCGCAAGACGTCCTCTTCACCTCGACTCCTCCTCCAACCACCACCACCGCGCGGCACCCCGGATAGCAACCAGCTCGCCGCTGTGGTTCCGTCGCTGTAGCTGCTGCGCCCGCATTCCTTCTTCCCCGAGCCCTCCACACACCATCATTCTCTACCGAGCCGTGGATAGCTACGCGGGAAAGCCGCTACGTGTCTACCATGGCTAGCGAACGAGACCCTAAGAGGCAGCGTGTCGAGGAGCCCGGGGCCGAGTCACCTCCGGCCAAGGAGCGTCTGCCGGATGGGATCACGGCGACGGAAGAGGGCCAGAAGAACCGTTGGTTTGTCGGGAGTATAGACCAGGGTACCACGTCGAGTCGTTTCTTGATATTCAATGGTGATGGGGATCCAGTTGCGAGCCATCAGATTGAGTTTGAAAATCTGTATCCGGAATCGGGGTATGTCGCATGATCCTATTACAAGCTCCTTTTTTTTTTTTTTTTTTTTTTTGTCTCATTCCAATTGCATTTTCTAACACACGCCTGTTATCATGCAGTTGGCATGAGCATGATCCTCTTGAGCTACTTAGATCCGTAGAAAAGTGCATTGAGGGCGCAGTCGCCAATTTTACCAAAGCAGGCAACGATATATCACGAATACGGTCTGTAGGCATTACGAACCAGCGCGAGACGACCATTGTCTGGGATACACAAACGGGCGAACCTCTTTACAACGCCGTCGTATGGCCCGACACCCGCACGAAACACCTGGTCCGAGAGCTTCGCAACAAGGAGGGCGCTGACGATCTCCTAAACCTGTGCGGTCTTCCCCTCTCGACCTATCCATCGAGCGTCAAGCTACTGTGGCTCATTGAAAACGTCGAAGCTGTCAAGAAGGCTTACGAGGAGGGTCGCCTAGCGTTCGGCACCGTGGATTCCTGGCTAATCTACAGGCTCAATGGCGGTGCGAAGCAGGAAAATGGGGGAATCCACGTCACCGACGCAACGAACGCCAGCCGAACCATGTTCATGAACCTCCGAACCCTCCAATACGATGACAAGCTCCTGTCATTCTTCGGAATCGACAAGTCGAAGATTGCCCTCCCGAAAATCGTACCGTCCTCCGACGCAGAGGTCTTCGGCAAGTTCGCGGCGGGACCGCTGAAGGGCCTCCCCATCACGGGCTGTCTGGGCGACCAATCATCCGCGCTCGTGGGGCAGTGCGGTTTCCAGCCGGGACAGGCGAAGAATACCTACGGAACCGGATGCTTCCTTTTATACAACGTCGGCACCGAACCCGTCATCTCGAAATCGGGCCTGCTGGCCACCGTCGCTTACGATTTTGGCAAGGGCAGAAAGCCAGTGTACGCTCTCGAGGGTAGCATCGCCGTTGCCGGGGCCGGCGTCAAGTTCCTTTCGCAAAACTTGGGCTTCGCTGATAGCGCTGCCAAGGTCGCCGAGCTCGCTGAGACTGTTCCTGATAATGGCGGCGTGTTCTTCGTTACGGCCTTTAGTGGGCTCTTTGCGCCGTACTGGATTGACGACGCAAAGGGAACGTTATGTAAGTCGCTTATCCCCCCCCCATCTCCTCGCCGTACCAAAATCCACACCCAACCATTCCCTCATGCCTGCCTCATCTCACCTCCAAATCTAACTAACCCTTTCGAAAATAGTCGGCATAACCCAACACACCCAAAAAGGCCACATAGCCCGCGCAACCCTCGAAGCAACCTGCTACCAAACCAAAGCCATCCTTGACGCAATGGCCCTCGACTCCCACCACGCCCTCGAATCCCTCGCCGTCGACGGCGGCCTATCTAACTCCGACCTCTGCATGCAGACCCAGGCCGACGTCAGCGGCATCCCCGTCGTCCGCCCCGCTATGCGCGAGACCACCGCCCTCGGAGCCGCCATCGCCGCCGGCTTAGCGACGGGCGTGTGGGGGGAACTGAGGGATTTGGATCATGTTAATCAGGTGGGGAGGAGGGTTTTTATGCCGAAACTGGAGGAGAGGAGGAGGGAGAGGTTGTATGCTAAGTGGCAGCAGGCTGTGGATATGAGTAGGGGTTGGGTGAAGGTTGAGGATGAGTTGTAATATATGTTCGAAGATGGGCGAGGGAAAAAAGGGGGGGGGGGAGGTTTTTATTGTTCTTGTACGATGTGGTGAAGAGCGTGGAGTTTGTTGGATACTAATACCCTCGTGGGACATGAACGTCCTGTGATGTAGATATAGCCCCTTTGGGAATCCCTTTTCTGTACTTCGTAGTTGCTCGCTAATAGTTTATCTGTACAAAATCAGAAATTCTCAAATTTACAAGTCCATGGAGGTGAACGGAGCGTTCGTCAGAACCGCGTCCGTCTTCCTCCAATGATCGCAGCCGGCCTCATCCCATGATGAGGCGAGGCTGTTGTCCACCTCTTACACAGATGCTCCTACAAAACCCAGTCACGCCTCTATCATGCCGAGCAACAAACCAATGGATCAAGATCCTTGAATTCATTTCCTCTATAGCATACCTATGCGAGAAAACAGAAACACGCATTGAAAGATCAAGAACCGCTTCAAAACGTTAGGCAGGATATCTCAAATCCTTCTCTTCCAAGATCTTCTTCTTCCCCTCCATTTTTAAACGCAACCCTTTCATTTCTTTTTTTGATAGGAAAAAAATAACCTGTCCTTCATGTCCCTCAATTTCATGCAAATGCCCCCTTGCCTTCCTTCCCCCTATATTTTTTTCCCTCACGCCTTGCCCCCCTTTCCTGCCGACTCCCTTTCAAACATGCCAAACATGCAAAAAGAGCTGAGTTCGATTCGATTCTCATAAATGCGCTCAGAAAGGTCTAGAAAAAGAGAAGAGACTCATTATGACACCCGCCACCGAGGGGCAGGGGGTAATAATTCCGCCAATCAAGGTACTATCGTGAGGGGAGTTGTGTTGTGTGAAATGGCCGTTATTAAGGGAGCCGTGACGAGCAGAAATGAACGAAGGAAAACAGAGAAAAGTAGAAAGGGTAATAATACTATAATGGAATTAAAACCGGGTACAGAAACTGAATCGAAACGGAAAACTGATGCACGCGGAATCGTTAAAGCGTGAGAATTGTGTATGGGCGGGGCGTAGGGGCATTAAGTTAGAAGAAGAGGTGCTCGTGCTCGGTTTCCATCCGCGTCGTCACGATCTACCCTGTCGTTATCCGAACTAGCTCGGAGCTAATTACATGATAATGGCGGGGACGTCGACGTTGGCCTTAATCGACTTGTGAGGCAGGACGCTGCCTCCGTTGACGTATATCTCATCACCAATGGTGACATCGTCGCCGAGGACGGTGACGTTCTCGAGACGAGCCCACTTGCCGACGGTGCTGTTCCAGCCAACAATGGTGCTCTTGACCCAGGCGTGATCCTTGACCTTAGAGCCACGGAGGAGAACACATCGCTGGAGCCTGACGCCATCACCGACGACGACACCGGGGCCGATGGTCACATTAGGACCAATGCGGCAGCCCTTGCCGATCTTGGCGGTGGGGTCGATCAAGACGTTTCCGCCGTGAACGTAAGACTCCGAAGGGGGGGTGAGGAGCTTCGAGTTCTTCTTGGTGAGGGAGGAAAGGTACAGGCAGGTGCCGGTAAGGAAGTCCTTGGGCTGACCAACATCCATCCAGAAGCCCTCGAGGTCGAAAGAGTGAAGCTCGCCATCCTTGACCATGGCGGGGAAAACCTCCTTCTCGATGGAGGTAGGGCGGAGCTCGATCCTGTCGAGGACGGAGGTGTTGAGAATGTACATGCCGGCGTTGATTCGGTTACCGACGAACTCAACGGGCTTCTCGACGAAGCGGTCGATCAGAGAAGCATGACCGGGCTTGTGGACAACGACACCATACTTGGAAGGCTCCTCAACCTTGGTGACCACGATGGTACCTTCCTTACCGTGGCTCTTGTGGAACTCGGCGAGCTCCTGGAAGGGGAAATCGCAGATGACATCAGAGTTGAGCACGAAGAAGGGCTCGTCGTCCTTAGCGAGAGTCTTCTCGGCCAACTTTAGGGGACCGGCGGTGTCGAGGGGCTCATTCTCGATCGAGAAGGTAATGTTGACACCGAATTCCTTGCCGTACTGTAGTAGAAAACACGCAAAAGCAGGTTAGCGACCAATCGACTGTCACCACCGCAAGGAATCAGGGGCAATCCGTTAATTCCACCCACGAAAACTCACCTCAGCAAGGCGCTCCTCCATTATCTCGGGCCTATAGTTGACGGCGAGAACAATATCTGTGACACCAGCAGCGGCAAGGGCCTCGATCTGGTGGAGAATCATGGGCCGATTGCAGAATTCGACCAGGGGCTTGGGGAGAGTGAGGGTCTAGAAACGCAGCGGAAGCGAGTCAGCATATTTCGATCGTCGATTGTTTCTCCGTAGCAAACGAGCGGGAATAGCTCTCAATTGAAGCTGTCGGGCGACATCGGAGCCGGGTCGTTACGTACGAGAGGGCGAAGGCGGGTGCCAAAGCCACCGACGAGAATGAGAGCTAGAATCTGGTGTAAGCTGCTAAAATTCAAGCTCCAAAGATAATGGCAGCACCACTGTACCTTTCATTTTTGCAGTTGTGATTGAAGTGTTTCTTTAGCGAGAGTGTGAATGTAGAAGATGAAGGAGGAGAAGATGGCGAGGTGGTTGTGTAATGGTAGAGCAGAGAAAGGAGGTTTGGATAGTGGGAGAGGCAATGGCAGGTGACGAGGTGGGGCGCGGGGAGCAGGGGCCTGAGGAGCAGAGCAGGAGCAATGGAGGAGGGTGGAGGATGGATTGGGTAGTTGCGGTCGAGGGAGAAAATTGTTGGCTAGATTAATACGGTATTGGAAAGGCTTGATTCAGAAGCTTGCATACAGAAGCGAAGGTTCAATGCAAGTCGAGGAAAGTACTATGCGCACCCGAAGCGAATTGTTGGGGGGAAAGCATGCAAAGAAAGTCAGAGAGGAAAAGAAGAAGGGAAGGAGGGACTGCGATGGTTGTCGAGCACCCTTTTTAGATTTTTATGATTTTCTTCGCAACAATGCTCCGTCTGCTCGAATCCTGGACCTTTCCTTTTTCCATGCCATTTTAGGGGAGGGGCTACCGGGGCCTGCCCACTGTTCCCCAGTGCAACGTGCAACGCAACTGCCACAACGACTGACTTCGTACTTGGAGAGGTCCAGGTCGATGTCCAGGTGTTACGATATTACATTGTACCAAGCGAGGGCCAAACACGAGCTATGGTCAGGGGTCGGCGGGCTTGAGGACCAAGGTAGTGACTGTCAAAAGTATCATTGAACATTGATCGATATTGATCTGGGTCGTGCCCGCCGCCTTGGTTTCAGTTAATAATAGTGGTAATGTCATTCAAACCTAATAGTGTCAGTCAGGTATCAAATGTTCCTTACCTCACATCGCACCAATTCGAAGGCGTAGATTGCAGGTACCGCCAGAAGCTAAAGGGGTACCTGCCAGGGCAGGACCAATGGATGCATCCTCCAGCTTGGGGATACAGCTTCAGCTGTACACATGGCTCCAACCAGGTACTTGACACCGCCAGTCCCGCGACAATCTCCATTCTCTTCCGACACACCAGCACACCAAGTGACCAAATAGGGGGGGCCGCATCTGGGAAAGAAAAAAAGAATGGGGGCTGAGTTGCGAAAGAAGCCGCGTGGTTGTGAGTGGGACAGGACCTCGTCGCCAATCACAGCGGCTCGTGTCCAGTAGTGCGGTTAACCCCCGAATCAGAGCATCGGCCCAAATTTCCCAGTGGAAATTTGAAGAGGAGCAGAAAGGGGAAGTGCCAAAGCCAGCCAAACTAAAAAAAAAAAAATTGGCGGCGATTCTCTCGTCGAGTTGGAGTGTCAAGAACAGGCAATATTAGCTCCCTAACTCGGTACTCTGCACTGAACTATTATTATCGAACCCTTGCTTTCCGGACAGCTGATCATCGTGGCAATCGAATTGGCTTATGTGGCATCTTAAAACCTCCGTCCTTGCTCTCTCAAATCTCTGGCCTGGTTCAATGTTCTTTTGCCATCGTCAATCCCATCAATCCCCATTACGAGCCACCAACCCCCGTATTCATCTCCCTTTCTAAGTATCTGGCCAATCTGCCCACGGACGGACTATTCCCGGAGATCGAAGTGGCATGGCTGCCCAAAAAACTGAATTGCCAGCTGCCTCACCCACACAATGACGAAATCACCCAATTTATTCCGTTAATATGCGAACCCCGTATTATCGATATCGATATGCCCCGGTACAAAAGTACAAGTCAATATTACCTTCGCCATCCGCCACTCTCCGTTTTTTTTCTAAGTGATACGAGCCCAGCAGCCAGTCCTGTTCCAAGTCCAATCACGCTTTCTGAGACCAGCTGATCATCCCACCTTTTGGCCGCGTAACAAAGCCACTCGGAACATGAAGTAAGGGACGGGGAGGAGTCTTGTTTTTTTGGGCCCCTCGTCCAAAAGACGACATTCACAAATCCAGCCAGTCTCCATTCCGGATGAAGGAACCCCTTGATGTGAAGACGAGGAAATGGACGTCATGTGGACTAACGACCCGGACTGGAAAATCTCCCGGTCCAATGCTTTTGGACGATCTTAAGATTGGAACCCCCCATCCGGTAGCTCATCATCGTCTTACCTTCGGTATCTAGCCTAGTCTATTTGCATCCCAGTCGAGTCGTGCTAGCCATGTCAGAGTAAACTGCTTCGCCGGGCGTGTCTAACAATAAACCGTAACACTACGAAGTACTTGGTAATAGTACATCCCATTTTTGCCTTTTGTCAAGACTCGGGAGACACAAAAAAGGGGTCAACGCCGGGACTTGGTTCAAAGTTTCGCTCCGACTTTTCTCGGGTTATTATTAGCAAGGTGGACCCCAAGGGAGAAATAGATCCCATCTCGTGGCAACGCCTCAGTGGGGGGCAGTTTCGAAAATGGACGGCCCACCAAAGGGGTCCTTGATTCAAGTAATCTCTCCTCCCCTCCCCTCCCCCCCCCAAAAAGGGCTGCTATCTTGGAGCTTCCCCGGTTGGCTTTCCGTCACCGGGGCAGGGGTTATAGGCTGGTCACCAGACCACAACCATCATTAAAAGGTTCCTTCGAGAAAATTACCGCAATGGATGGGGGCATCGAGAAAAACTGGCAATATTCGACTCCTGAGACCAGAAGTAGTAATAGATACCGAGTTTGACCGGGCCGGGAAGGGGAAAAAAACAAATATGAGGCATGACCACTTGTCTGAGATCCAGGAAGTGAACAAATGCCTAAGTATTATTCGACGGCCCGAAAGAAGCAAGGTTGTTCCATCTCGCCTCGAATTTTGGCCGGCATCGCCGCCTGCCAGGAAGAGAGTCATTCATCACTGCCCTGTCAACCTGGTAAAGTCGAGGTCAAAGTGATTGAGCTCATGTGCTACAATCCAATATATGCTTCGTAGTATGTCTGTGTTAATACAATTGTATTTGGAATTCTCTCAAACAATCAATACTATAATATTGCCGTGTGCTTCCAGAAGCCGTTTTCGCGAGAACCTGCCCGACATGTTTCCGTGAGCACAGCCTCCGGTTTACCACATTCCAGCCACTTACACGGACGTGAGAAGAACGACCAAAAAAGATGAAAGAAGAAGAAGAATCTCACATGAGCTTACGCGTGACGAAAGATAAAGATGCACTGGCCTGAGGCAACCGCCATGGGCGTGACCTTGTGTAACTTTACTCAACGTCTCTCTTCACCAAGCACCCGGTGTCTCACTGACAGCCAGATATCGACCATCACAAAGCATCCCAACTGTGAACAGAACATGCGTGCGACAAACTAGGAGACAGGAACTGAGCCGAGGAGAATCCATTGCCATCTGGTTTTATTCGCTGTTGTTTTTTTCTGTTTTCAACTATCATTTCCGAAAAAACTCATAATCATGATCATGACTGTCGTTAGGCTAACTAAATGCAAAAAGACATCAAGGAGACTAGGAAAAACCTCTTAAGAAGGAAAAGAAAAAAAAAAAAGGAAGATCAAATTTCGATCAGAATGAATCCACGCCGCCCCAAGTCGTGCCCAATTTTGGTTTCTTTTTTTTTCGAATCACCCACCCATGACGAAAATGAGACAAAGATGAAGCTGGGGCTGGATGTTCACTCCCAGGACCTCGCTCGCCCGCTGGAAATGCAACAAATGAAGCCAATAGATTTCCCACGTCGTAAAGATTATCATTGATGGCTGGCCCGGCTCTCTAATGGATGGCGTCCTCCCCTAACTTTTCCCCTTCTTTTTTTCCTTTTGTTGGAATTCGTACGCGGTCGTGGCTTTTTTTTTTAATCCCCCTTTTGTGAAGAAGCCTCATTCTGCTCTCCACCAGATGTCTAGGTCATCCACGCGGGCCGAGAAAACACTGAAAATAATGCGGATTCCGGGCTCAAGCTATCCGAGAATCTGGAAACGGATGTATCTGAGACATGGCTGGTTCTGTCCAACTCCCGGCCAATGTTGGAGAACGGCTCTTCGATCTCGCCCAGCTACCGAGGTAAAGTCCAGATCAAAGAGACGCAGATATGCCCGGTTTAGACGAAACAAATCCGGAATCGCATTCCTGACGGCGGCCACAATGGAGGTGACTAAGAACTGGAGAGAACAGAGCAGGCCTGAAAATGCAGAAACAAATAAGAAACAAAACGAGAATGGAAAACATGGCAATGGATGAGTGAATCCATAGGTAAAAACCATATGAGGCCGTTAGATCATTTCTAAGTCGTGAGGGTCGTTAACGTCGTTTCATGAAGCAAGATGAAGAAAGAGGTGAAAAGAAAAAGAAAAAAGAGAAAACAAATAAAGTGTGAAGAGATACGAGGACGCCGGAAAACGAAAATGCGGTTTGCGTCCACCGTTTGGAACCCGGGAGAAGAGATCTTTGGCAACCGGCCCTCGCCACCGGCCTAGTCTCCCAAACGAAAACTGCATGCCAAACGTGAAAGACCTTTGGCTACCAGATGATGCCAATAAGTTGCCGAGGTTTTTAGGTTTTTGGGTATATCCCTGGGGGGAATGGTGCTGTGAAGCCCGTTGAACGTTTATATCTGCGCCGTTCGCTATACTCTTTTGCATCGCCGAGTTCGAAACCATCTCCGGAAATATGTGTCGACTTGCATAATTCCACCGCCGTAGCCGACGGCATCAAAACGGAGAAGAGAAAGAAGAAGAAGGAAAAAAAAAAAAAAAACGAAAAAGAAACTGAAGAAGAATGACATCGCGTCATACTCGTGTCTGTCTCACGACTCCGTTGTTCACTAGAGGACTCTTGTCTTGGTTCGGTCCTACGTTCCCAATAGGTTCAAGGATCCCCTTATTCAAAGGAAGCGGTGGAACTGCTGCTGGAGTGATGGCCAGACCTCCGGCTGTGGCTCGAATTATGGCTACCAGTTCGGCTTGAGGACGTATGATGGCTTCCCTTCCGGTGACGGCGGCTGGACTCATTAGCGGGCAGTCCCTGGACAATACCGTTCCGGGCTAGCATTCCACCGTTAACGGAAAAGTTCCGGCAGACCATGAAGGCACGCATGGCAGCGTTCTCC